GGAGTTGTCGCAGTTGCTCTTTGCTGATGACATTGTGCTCTTGGGAGATTCTGAAGAGAAGTTGCAGAGATTGGTGGATGAATTTGGTAGGGTGTGCAAGAGAAGATAATTAAAAGTGAATACAGGAAAGAGTAAGGTTATGAGGATAAAAAATTAGGTAATGAAAGATTGGATATCAGATTGGAGGGAGAGAGTATGGAGGAGGTGAATGTATTCAGATATTTGGGAGTGGACGTGTCAGCGGATGGGTCTATGAAGGATGAGGTGAATCATAGAATTGATGAGGGGAAAAGGGTGAGTGGTGCACTTAGGAGTCTGTGGAGACCAAGAACTTTGTCCTTGGAGGCAAAGAGGGGAATGTATGAGAGTATAGATTTACCAACACTCTTATATGGGTGTGAAGCATGGGTGATGAATGTTGCAGCAAGGAGAAGGCTGGAGGCAGTAGAGATGTCATGTCTGAGGGCAATGTGTGGTGTGAATATAATGCAGAGAATTCGTAGTTTGGAAGTTAGGAGGAGGTGCGGAATTACCAAAATTGTTGTCCAGAGGGCTGAGGAAGGGTTGTTGAGGTGGTTCGGACATGTAGAGAGAATGGAGCGAAACAGAATGACTTCAAGAGTGTATCAGTCTGTAGTGGAAGGAAGGCGGGGTAGGGGTCGGCCTAGGAAAGGTTGGAGGGAGGGGGTAAAGGAGGTTTTGTGTGCGAGGGGCTTGGACTTCCAGCAGGCGTGCGTGAGCGTGTTTGATAGGAGTGAATGGAGACGAATGGTTTTTAATACTTGACGTGCTGTTGGAGTGTGAGCAAAGTAACATTTATGAAGGGGTTCAGGGAAACCGGCAGGCCGGACTTGAGTCCTGGAGATGGGAAGTACAGTGCCTGCACTCTGAAGGAGGGGTGTTAGTGTTGCAGTTTAAAAACTTTAGTGTAAAGCACCCTTCTGGCAAGACAGTGATGGAGCGAATGATGGTGAAAGTTTTTCTTTTTTGGGCCACCCTGCCTTGGTGGGAATCGGCCAGTGTGATAATAAATAATAAAAAAAATATTTATTATTTATTATTATTATTAGTAGTATTGCTGCTGCTGCTGCTATTTTAAATTACCTGCTATCTCTGACCTAGGTAGGGTGACCCCCCCCAAAAAAAAAAAAATAAAAATAGTTTTTCCTTGTACATTTAGTAATTTATACAGGAGAAGGGGTTACTATTCCCTTGCTTCCAGTATTTTATTTGTCTTTTATGACATGCATGGCTTATGGATATTATTATTATAGTACAGGTGCCCCTCTCTTTGTGATAGATGTGTTCCTGGTTGATGACGCATCAAATGAAATCACAGATAGCAAACCCATTATAACTTGTAAAATGTAGGATTTGTTTTGAGACTATATTTTCCGCATATTTTATTTCTCACGTTTTACTAAATGCATTCATGCTTTGTGAATACTCATTTCATACATGCATAAAGAGCTCACTTATTTTTTTAAGATTGTTCAAGAAGTGTTGATTTATTATTTATACTTTCTCATTATGTAAGTGGTTTGCATGTGGTTGGTGAAGGATGGTGGTATTTGGGAAGCCAGCAAACCATGGAGGAAGATCACAGCCCCCTCTGAGTCACTTCCTCCCTCACTGATTTACTGCCTCACTACCTCGCTCACATTCTCCAGCTTCCCTGTTATTTATGTTGTGTTAGTATGGAGGATGAGAGGGCTCATGTGTCCTGGATGTGTTTTAGTGGGTGAAGTGTGGGGGCATCACACAGCACCTTCCATTAATCTCTCTACAACTTTCAGCACACTACATGTTTATTGGATTTTTTTTTTTTTTTTCAAGTCGGTCGTCTCCCACCGAGGCAGGGTGACCCAAAAAAAGAAAGAAAATCCTCAAAAAGAAAATACTTTCATCATCATTCAACACTTTCACCACATGCACACATTATCACTGCTCTTGCAGAGGTGCTCAGAATACAACAGTTTAGAAGCATATACATATAAAGATACACAACATATCCCTCCAAACTGCCAATATCCCAAACCCCTCCTTTAAAGTGCAGGCATTGTACTTCCCATTTCCAGGACTCAAGTCCGACTATATGAAAACAACCGGTTTCCCTGAATCCCTTCACTAAATATTACCCTGCTCACACTCCAACAGATCGTCCGTTCCCAAGTATCATTCGTCTCCATTCACTCCTATCTAACACGCTCATGCACGCTTGCTGGAAGTCCAAGCCCCTCGCCCACAAAAACCTCCTTTACCCCCTCTTTCCAACCCTTTCGAGGACGACCCCTACCCCTCTTTCCTTCCCCTATAGATTTATATGCTTTCCATGTCATTCTACTTTGATCCATTCTCTTAAATGACCAAACCAACCTCAACAACCCTCTTCTGCCCTCTGACTAATGCTTTTATTAACTCCACACATTCTCCTAATTTCCACACTCCGAATTTTCTGCATAATATTTACACCACACATTGCCCTTAGACAGGACATCTCCACTGCCTCCAACCGTCTCCTCGCTGCTGCATTTACCACCCAAGCTTCACATCCATATAAGAGTGTTGGTACTACTATACTTTCATACATTCCCTTCTTTGCCTCCATAGATAACGTTTTTTGACTCCACATATACCTCAACGCACCACTCACCTTTTTTCCCTCATCAATTCTATGATTAACCTCATCCTTCATAAATCCATCCGCTGATACGTCAACTCCCAAGTATCTGAAAACATTCACTTCTTCCATACTCCTCCCCAATTTGATATCCAATTTTTCTTTATCTAAATCATTTGATACCCTCATCACCTTACTCTTTTCTATGTTCACTTTCAACTTTCTACCTTTACACACATTCTCAAACTCATCCACTAACCTTTGCAATTTTTCTTTAGAATCTCCCATAAGCTCAGTATCATCAGCAAAAAGTAACTGTGTCAATTCCCATTTTGAATTTGATTCCCCATAATTTAATCCCACCCCCTCCTGAACACCCTAGCATTTACTTCTTTTACAACCCCATCTATAAATATATTAAACAACCATGGTGACATTACACATCCCTGTCTAAGACCTACTTTTACCGGGAAGTATTCTCCCTCTCTTCTACACACCCTAACCTGAGCCTCACTATCCTCATTAAAAGCTCTTTACAGCATTTAGTAACTTACCACCTATTCATAAACTTGCAACATCTGCCACATTGCTCCTCTATCCACTCTATCATATGCCTTTTCTAAATCCATAAATGCAATAAAAACTTCCCTACCTTTATCCAAATACTGTTCACATATATGCTTCAATGTAAACACTTGATCTACACATCCCCTACCCACTCTGAAGCCTCCTTGCTCATCCGCAATTCTACATTCTGTCTTACCTCTAATTCTTTCAATTATAACTCTACCGTATACTTTTCCTGGTATACTCAGTAAACTTATTCCTCTATAATTTTTACAATCTCTTTTGTCCCCTTTCCCTTTATATAAAGGGACTATACATGCTCTCTGCCAATCCCTAGGTACCTTCCCCTCTTTCATACATTTATTAAACAAAAGTACCAACCACTCCAACACTATATCCCCCCTGCTTTTAACATTTCTGTCATGATCCCATCAGTTCCAGCTGCTTTACCCCCTTTCATTCTATGTAATGCCTCACGTACCTCCCCCACACTTACATTCTGCTCTTCTTCACTCCTAAAAGATGGTATACCTCCCTGACCAGTGCATGAAATTACTTACTCTTTCTTCTTTAACATTTAAAACTTCCTCAAAATATTCTCGCCATCTGCCTAGTACCTCCATCTCCCCATCTACTAACTCCCCTACTCTGTTTTTAACTGACAAATCCATACTTTCCCTAGGCTTTCTTAACTTGTTTAACTCACTCCAAAATTTTTTCTTATTTTCATTAAAATTTCTTGACAGTGCCTCTCCTACTCTATCATCTACTCTCCTTTTGCACTCTCTCACCACTCTCTTTACCTTTCTTTTACTCTCCATATACTCTGCTCTTCTTATAACAGTTCTGCTTTGTAAAAACCTCTCATAAGCTACCTTTTTCTCTTTTATCACACCCTTTACTTCATCATTCCACCAATCACTCCTCTTTCCTCCTGCCCCCACCCTCCTATAACCACAAACTTCTGCCCCACATTCTAATACTGCATTTTTAAAACTATTCCAACCCACTTCAACCCCCGCACTACTCATCTTTGCACTAGCCCACCTTTCTGCCTATACAAAATTATCATTCAATAAATAATTATTCAAGGGAATGTTTATGTATTGAATGATAATTTTGTATGTATTTTTTTTTCACTTACCATTAAATGCAAAAACTGCATTAGAAAGGGAGTCTTCATCATGAATGAATGATATATAGATGAATGTATGATTGCAATAGAGTTGCATCTTGTCCTTTGCATCTGCTGTGAGCGAAGTATCTAACAGGAAAGGGTTCAGAAAAACTGGTTAGCTGGACTAAAGTTAAGGAGGTGAAAAATACAGTGCAAGTACTTTAAAGAATGAATGGGATGATGAAGTTAGGCAAATCATGAATTGTGATGTCCAGGCATTTTTGGGAATGAATGATGGTGAATGTGTTTTCCTTTGATCACTCGAGCTTAATGGGGAAACGGCTAATAAAAATGGTAGTGTAAATAAAAATATGTACATGATAATGGACAATAATGAGAATGGTAACTAATAGTTCCATAACAGAAATGATTAAATGTTAAAAACTAGCAGGAAAATTGTCATTAGTTTATTTTGTAACATCACCTTTGTCAAATTTAGTTTGTGCAAGAGTATTGTTGGGATTTGCGAGTTAGGGGATTCTTTCTTGGGTTGCCCTATTGTGATTAGACTTTATTTGGTGGTTATTATTTTATTATTATTATTATTATTTTATATTATTATTTTGTAGATTTCTTTTTCCATTTTTTGTGTTTACAATATGTATAAAACATAGGCATCCAACCTTTTATCTGCAGGTGATAACCTAGGATGTTTTGGAGGTAGCAGAAAGAAAAAAGATGCAGTGGGTGGGGCAGTAAAGGAAACCAGTACTGGACAGCGGACGACGGGGCCTCGCACGGAACCTTTACGGGGCATGGAACTTCTCTGGCAACCTGAGGTAGTAAGTACCCAACCCTGTCCCATCCTAACAGTAACCTACACCATCTAAGACACAACAGCATAGCTTTTTACCTTCTGCAGGCTTGTTTCAAGGTGGGATTTAAAGTTATGCAGCACTTTTGCACATAAATTATTCAAATAAGGGATAAACTTTTTCATAGATGTGAGAGTCAACCCACTGTGGAGACTGCACCTTTAGATTATAGAGGAATGTTTTGTAGGGAGAATATACATTATTTTGTAATTTTTCTAAATATTTAAAAAAAAAAAATTTTTTAAACACTTAACCCTTTCGGGGTCAGTCCCATTGTACTTTGGCTTTGAAGTCAATGTCGGTCCTGTAGTTCTACCCCATGAGCTCAGCTCACTCAGATAAGGTGTGAGTGGTAAATTTGGGCCTAGAGATGAGAGAATGGGTCTGTGGGGTAAGTGTGCACCTTGTAAAAGAAAAATCCTTGAAATCCTTGCAGTACTGGTTGCATGCCAAGTTATTCAATGCCATCATTTGTTCATAGTTTCGTGGAATTATCCACAGTAGGGAGAACACTAAATAACACTATTTCAGCACTCCCGATGTTCAATCAAGAAAGTCACACTGAGATGCTATAAACACTACATGATTCGTTCTACTGCAAATTTCCTGACTTGTATAAGGGAACTTTCATTGTCAGAATGAACAAGAATCAAGAACACACTGGTTATTACTGTCCCTTTGTCTTTTAATGATAAGGCGGGATTGCCCTCATGACATGCCTCGTCTGTTCCTTGAAACAATCTGAGCCCTTGCTGCCCTCATCTGCAGTCATGCGTCTTCACACAAAGGAATTGCTGAGTTCAGTTTTATATATATTCGTTGTTAGTCTGTGCAACAGTATTTAACACAAGAGGGTAGGTTTCTTGTTATTTATCTGTAGGCTAGAAGTCATAATGTCCCTGACTTGTAGACTAAAGGGGGCATAGGTTTTCTCTTAATTTTCCTGGTATGGGGAAAAGAGTAATTACTCTCATTTAACCATCATTCTGTAGTTGATCAGAAATTCTAGCAAGGAGAGAGCTGTGCATGGAGATGCCTGGTACACATGTCTTCCCCATAAAACTGTTGTGGGAGGAAGGAAGAGTCCACTAGCCCTTTGTGAGAGGGCTAAGTCCCTTAGAGGGCTTAAAGGGGCCAAGAGATACCCTCTCTTTTACTGGAGATTTTTCTCCACAACATTGTTTATTCTGAAGCCTATTTTTAAATTATCAATTTTTAAATTTTGTGTGAAATTGGCCAAATTACCAATTTCTGATCACTTTATTGGGTAATTGAAATGGGTAAAAGTGCAGTTTTTTGTACTCAGTCAATAGAATAGAAGGAATACTAGCAAAATAGCTATGAGTTTGGTACTGGAACAAGGGAATTCACCAACAGTAGGGCTCTAAGTCAGCGAAATCACTGATGCATAAATATCATCAAGGCCACTAAGTTTGCAAGAATGTAATTCTGTAAGCTTTTCATCAAATTTTGTACTTTTGGTTTCATTACCTTTGGGAAAAGATTCTCTATCATTTCATAAGAAGAAAAAGTTTATTTTTTTTTTAAATTTTCAACCCTGAGAGCAAGTTTTAAAATTGGGTCTCGACCCTGAATGGGTTAAGGTGCCATCCTGTATTATTTAAAATATAAGTTAAGTTTTAGAGCAGTTAAAATTTTCCTTACAAGTAATCTTGTTTGTTTTTCCTTAATTTTTTACTTCCGCTAATGTCTTGCTTTTATTGATGTGTCAAGCATTGATGTGTTCACAAGTCTTAAATGCCATATTTACTTTTCAGGTTTCACTTGTAGCTTTTTATTGGTTTTGTAAATGGCTGATGAAGAAAACCTCATCATTTATTAATATCCATTGGAGTGAGATAAATAAATAGGCTAAGAAAGTCTGGGTAACAAGTAGGTTTAACGGTTAAAAACAGAATAGGAGAGTTAGAAGATAGGGAGTTGGAGGTATTGGGAAGTTGGCAAGAATATTTTGAGAAGCTATTAAATGTTGATGAAGAGAGGGAGGCAGTGATTTCATGCATTGGCCAGGGAGGTATAACACCTTTTAGGAGTGAAAAAGTTCCAAATGTGAGTGTGGGGGAGGTATGTGAGGCATTGTGTAGAATGAAAATGGGGTAAAGCTGCTGGAGAAGATGGGATCATGACAGAAATATTAAAAACAGGTGGGGATAATTTTGGAGTAGTTGGTACCTTTGTATGAAAGAGGGGAAGGTACCTAGGGGGCTGGCAGATAGCATGCATAGTTCCTTTATATAAAGGGGAAGGAGAACAAAAGAGTGTAAAAATTATAGGGGAAGAAGTCTACTGAGTTCTCCATGGGAAAGTGGAACAGAATTCTTCCTCCATAATCCATGCGTGTCATAAGAGGCCACTAGAGTGGAACCTCGGCACTTAAACTTAATTGGTTTCAGAAGACTGTTGGAGTGCTGATCTGTTCCTGTACAGAACAAATATTTCCCAACCAATTTTCTTTTTGGTTGGCTGTTATCACTAACCCTCTTAGGCCCCATGGTGACTTATTTATACAAAAAAAAAAAAAAAGTGAAAAAACACAAAATAGTTTACAGCAAAGTTCTGGCAGGTCGTGTTTGGTCAAGTGCCGATCAAACGGTCGACTACCAAGTAGTTTGTTTACCGAACAAAGTGTTCGAATACTCAATTGTTCAAGTATGGAGCTGTTCGAGTACCAAGGTTCCACTGTACATTACTAAAGTTATGAAGAGAAACTTTAGTTGATCTTTTTGGGCCACCCTGCCTCGGTGGGATAGAGCTGGTCTGTTGAAAGAAGCAGTCTACTGAGTATACCAGGTGCTGTATGGTAGGGTTATTGAAAGAATTTGGAGTAAGATGGAGAGCAGGATCACAGATGAAGGAGGAGGCTTTAAAATGGGTAGATGTGTAGACCAAGTGTTTACATTGAAGAATGTAAGTGTAACAATATTTAGAGAAAGGTAGTGAAGATTTTGTTGGTTTCATGGATGTAGAAAAGGCATATGATAGAGTGGATAGGGGAGCAATGTGGCAAATGTTGCAAGTGTATGGAATAGGTAGTAAGTTGCTAAATGCTGTAAAGAGTTTTTATGAGGATACTGAGGCTCAGGTTAGGGTGTGTAGGAGAGAGGGAGATTACTTTCTAGTAAAAGTAGGTCTTAGACAGGGATGTGTAATGTCACCATGGTTATTTGTAGATTGGGTTGTAAAAGAAGTAAATGCTAGGGTGTTGGGGAGAGAGGTGGGATTAAATTATGAGGAATCAAATGCAGAATGGGAGTTGATACGGTTACTTTTTGCTGATGATACTATGGTTTTGGGAGATTCTGAAGAGAAGTTGCAAAAGTTAGTATACGAGTTTAGGAGGGTGTGTAAAGGAAAAAAGTTGAAAGTGAACATAGATCTCAGTAGTAGTAACCAGTTACCAGTAACCAGTGTACCAGTAGATGACTCACTACCAACCGTCTCTGCCTGAGTCACTGTCTGTATTCATATTGTGCTGACCACAGCAGTATTCAAAGACCCCCTCACATATGGGTACTGTGGGCGGCCAGTCAGTTATACGAGAGTGAGCAAGAGAGATAGGTACGGCTGTTTGGGCGCTCCCCACATTATCCATAATTATACGTACTACCAGCCTACGTGAGTATTACCCTATCCACGTGTTCGAACTCCCACATGATATAGATAGGAGCAAGATGATGAGGGTATCAAACTAGTTAGGTAAAGAAAAATTGGATATTAAATTGGAGGGAGGAAGTATGGAAGAAGTGAATGTGTTCAGATATTTGGAAGTTAACTGTTGGGAGACTTTGCATTTATGAAGGACAAGGTAAATCATAGAATTGATGAAGGAAAAAAGGTGGATGGTGCATTGAAGTATCTGTGGAGACCAAGAACATTAAGGGAATGTATGAGAGTAGGGGTATGAGTGGTAGGGGACCTGAATGCTAAAGTAGGAGAAACTTTTAGAGAGGGTGTGGTAGGTAAGTTTGGGGTGCCAGGTGTAAATGATAATGGGAACCCTTTGATTGAACTTTGTATAGAAAGGGGTTTAGTTATAGGTAATACATATTTTAAGAAAAAGAGGATAAATAAGTATACAAGATATGATGTAGGGCGAAAATGACAGTAGTTTGTTGGATTATGTATTGGTAGATAAAAGACTGTTGAGTAGACTTCAGGATGTACATGTTTATAGAGGGGCCACAGATATATCAGATCACTTTCTAGTTGTAGCACACTAAGAGTAAAAGGTAGATGGGATACAAGGAGAATAGAAGCATCAGGGAAGAGAGAGGTGAAGGTTTATAAACTAAAAGAGGAGGCAGTTAGGGTAAGAAATAAAAACTTTGGAGGATAGATGGGCTAGTGAGAGCATAGGCAATGGGTCGAAGAGGTATGGGGTAGGTTTAAAAATGTAATGTTAGAGTGTTCGGGCAGAATTTGAGGTTACGGGGAAAGTGGGTGCGGGAGGAAAGAGGAGCGATTGGTGGATGAGTAAAGGAAATAAGAAATTGAGGTTAGATGGTGTGAAGTTAGGCAATGGGGTGAAGGTATGGGGTAGGTTAAAAGTAATGTAGAGTTAGAGAGTTTGGGTTAGAGTGGGTGGGCATGTAAAAGAGGAGCGATTGGTGGATGAGGGGTGAGATGTAACAAATTGGGAAAAAAGTAATAATTTTGAAGTTTTTACAAGTAGAAGTGATGCAAGGAAAAGATTTGCAGAAAAAGAGAGGAGGTTAAGATGGTGAGTGAGATGGTAAAAAGAGGGGAATATTTGGGAATTGGTTGAAATGTATGAGATGGGAATTTTGTTGAAAAAAAGGAAAAAATTTTGTAGTGAGTTACAGGTTAAGGAGCTAGGAAAAAGGGTTCGTGGGCGTTAGGAAAGTAAAGAGTTAATGGGAGTAGGAGGTATTGGGTAAGATGAAGGAATATTTTGGAACTCGCTTAACTGTTCAAAAATGCGCAAGCTGTGATTTGTGTTTAGGGAAGGGGTTTTAACTTTATGTTGGGGTTGAAATGAGTATCTTGAGTGTCCTAGGGAAAAAATTCGGAGCAGTAGGTAAACGAAAGGGGGAAGCAGCGGGAAATTTGAAAGTTCTT